AAGCACCTCCCCACCGACCAGGCCGAAGCACCTACCCACCACCTCCCCACTGAGCCGGCCGAAGCACCTCCCCACCGAGCTGGCTGAAGCACCTACCCACAACCTCCCCACCGAGCCGACAGAGGCACCTACCCACCACCTCTCCACGGAGTCTGCGGAAGCACCTCCCCACCGACCCGGCGGAAGCGCCTACCCACCACCTCCCCACCGAGTCGGTCGAAGTCTCTACCCACCACCTCCGCACAAAGCCGGCCGAAGCACCTACCCACCATCTGCCGACCAAGCCGGCCGAAGCACCTACCAACCACCTCCCCACCGAGTCGGTCGAAGCACCTACCCAACACCTCCCCACCGAGCCGGCCGAAGCATCTACCCACCACCTCCCCACCGAGCCGGCTGAAGCACGTCGCCACCACCTCCCAACCGAGCCGGCCGAAGCACCTATCCACCACTTCCCCACCGATCCGGCCGAAGCACCTACCCACCACATCCCCACTGAGCCGGCCAAAGCACCTACCCACCACCTCCCCACAGAGCCGGCCGAAGCACCTACCCACCACCTCCCCTCACCGAGCTGGCCGAAGCACCTACCCACCACCTCCCCACCGAGGTGGCGAAAGCACCTACCCACCACCTCCCCACCGAGCCGGCCGAAGCACCTACCCACCACCTCCCCACCGAGCTGGCCAAAACACCTACCCACCACCTCCCCACCGACCCGACCGAAGCACCTACCCACCACCTCCCCACAAAGCCGGTCGAAGCATCTCCCCACCGACCCAGCCGAAGCACCTACCCACCACCTCCCCAGCGAGCCGGCCGAAACACCTACCCACCACCTCCCCACCAAGCCGACCGAAGCACCTCGCCACCGAGCCGGGCGAAGCACCTACCCACAACCTCCCCACCGAGCCGGCGGAAGCACCTACCCACCACCTTCCCACCAAGCCTGCCGAAGCACCTCCCCACCGACCCGGCTGAAGCACCTACCCACCACCTCCCCACTGAGCCGGCCGAAGTCTCTACCCACCACCTCCCTACCAAGCCGGCCGAAGCACCTAACCACCACCTCCCCACCTAGTCGGGCGAAGCACCTACCTACCACCTCTCCACCGAGCCGGCCGAAGGACCTACCCACCACCTCCCCACCGAGCCGGCCGAAGGACCTACCCACCACCTCCCCACCGAGCCGGCCGAAGCACGTCTCCACCACCTCCCAACCGAGCCAGCCGAAGCACCTATCCACCACCTCCCCTCCAAGCCGGCCGATGCATCTACCCACCACATGCGATGGCGACGTCGAGGACGGGTGCCACGAACGCGTCATCAACCCCCCCGCTCCCTTAGTCGTCAGCTTTGTCGTCGTTTTAGTCTTCTGGGGGGCCTGTGCCCAACCAATCGAGCTTCTTTGCCTCCATGGGGGAAGACAACGTGGCGTTATGTGAGAACTTCACACCAATTGACGCCCAGTCGGGGATCATGTACAATGGAGGGGCTACCAAAGTCATAGGGGGTTTGGCCAACTTATCCGTGATGATGGTCGCAACTTGCACGATATGGCGACGTGCGTCGAATAAGTGATGCATGGATGCGATGAGCATCGGCTTTGTTGTCAGTTGGACGAACACCCGCGCGTCGTAATGCGCGCGATGATCGTCCCCGCTCATCCGCATGAGCCACACGGTCGCCGCGAGCATGATCCTCATCGCGTCGGCAACACTCTTCAACCTTTCGTGCGACACCCGACCGCCGTCGATCCCCTCCGCCATGCTCACGGCACTCGTGAAAGCCCCCACCAGTCGCTGGATGCTCGCCTCCTGATACGTCGCCAACTCGTCGTTCTCGTGCCTGTCTTCGATGTGGGCGCCAACCTACCACAGTGGCAGCTTCATATCCATGTCCAACGTAATGTGGAACACCATGGGCCTCACACATATACGCCAGTCCTCACCCATCCAGATCACGCGAGCGATGTCAGTGGCAATGTTGTTCAACGCGTACCCGTACACAGCGTGGTACCCCCATTGCCTGCTCGTCGACTTGAAGACCCACTCGTGGATCACCCGCAAAGCGATGGTCTGCACCTTGAACGCCCTCTGCTTCGCAGCGTTCTACTCCGATTCGTTGTCGATTTGGTGGTGCGGGATGGTGGTATGACGCAAGACGATGCTTCGAGGAACGGTTGGAGGCTGCACTCCCCGCGCCACCGCAACAAGATACAAACGCGTTTCCTGTATCAACTTCACTATGTCGTTCCCTTCCGTTTCGTTCCAGAAGCGGAGGTCGTCCACCCACAGCTTCGACACTGCCTCGATTTCGTCCCACGTATACCGCTGACGCACCTTGTTCACCAGCACTTCGTCGTCCTCACCTGGTCCGACGACATCACCTGCCCTCACCCCTTCCCCAGCCTGTGGACACCCCCCTGCCTTGGCCCCGCCTGCCCTCACTCCTTCAGCCGCTTGTGAAGCCCCCGCCGCTGTGGCCCCGCTGGCCCTCGCCCCTTCCACCGCGTGAGAAGGCCCCCCCTGCTACGCCACCGCTTGCCCTCACCCCTTCCCCCGTGTGCGCAGCCCCCCCCGCTGCTAACCCGCCTGCTCTCACCCCTTCCCCCGTGTGCGCAGCCCCCCCCGCTGCTAACCCTGCAACCTGCGCATCTCCAGCGCAGGAGAGCGGCTCTTGTTCCCCTGAGCGATGGCTTGCACGTTCACACCAACATCTGTAGCCGTTGTCGCCCGTGGGGTTGTTGGTGTCCGTGCGCGGACGACACCCTCTCGAGCGGCCTGGCCGTCATTCACACGTGGCATGGGTGCGCGATTTTGTTGTGTGACGGCAGTCCTCCCGCCCTGCCTGGATGTCGTCGCGGGGTCGACGTCGATGACGTCTTCCATTATTGTGCGGCCTCCTTCGCCTCGTCTTTCGCCAACGTCCTCGATCCGGAGGCCTCCACTTCCCCGCCTCGAGGACTTCCGCTTGAACGACACTTCCTTTTCCTCGAAGTCGCTTTCCACCTGCGACGCCACCCCCTCCGGCACCCACTCTTCATCCTCGACATACCTTGCAAGTGAGGAGCCGCCTTGGAAGAGCTTCCTTTTCTTGTTCACGACGTGGCGACCCTTTTTCTCCCGGGCAGCCGCTTCCACTGCCAGGTTGGTGGCGGACTTGCCGCGTCCAGAACCGCGGGACGACATGACGCACGACACACCCACTTCAAGCTTGATCACTCGCGAAGTCAAGATCTCTGCGGCGATGGTGAAACGTGTCGTCAGATTCGGATCGTCGTCTCGACTGCGATGGTGGGTATGGCGATGATGTCGCCGCTGTCGTCGACGAGTCGGAAGACGTTGTCGACGACGACCCGTTGTCGAGCGCATTGGTCCGGCACCACACAAGCCAGCGCGGGACCCTCCCGACCGCGTCACGTAGGAGTTGGTCTAAATCCTCGTCGCAAATATACATGGGGCTTCCGCAAGCTGCTCCGGCCGAGTGCGCCAGCCATACCTCTCGCGAGCCCCTACAACAGGATAGGGCCTACGCGAGGCACGACTTACCTCCACCTTACGGGAGTTGTCACCTCCCTTCGGTGGGCGTATCCCCACCGAGCTACCAGTCCACAGTACGTCCCAAGCGTGATCCGTCGTCAGTCGACAAGGACGCATCCCACACACCACGCGCACTCCACCCTAAGAACATAAAAATCAAAACACGCACGCATACGCACACATATACAAAACGACAACGGACAAAAAATGCGACAACACTCCTAGTCTCTTCAGTAACCATCCCATAACCTTCTGACGTGGAAATCGGATAGGCGACGTGCACGAGACTTAGTATAAAACCGCGCGGACGTAGGGCGAACTCATATCAACTAGCAATGCATGAATACGCAAGCAGAGGCAATGATGGCATACTATGTAGTGCCCATGATCAAGCGGTCCCTCGTGGATCCGAGTACCGCTTATGACACTCAAGTGTCAGACTCGAAGTATCGTGAAGGCTTGCCCCTTCACGATATTGCACGGCTGAAGGAATAGTCGTGAGGTCGCCGCGGCACCTCCGACCTTTAGGCTGAGTGTCTCGGTTGGCAGGGCAAATAGGCTCTGCGCAAGAGAAAATCTCTTCCATGCAGAGTCTAGGACTTAGGATATCCTGGACAAGGACCTCGAATCCAGGCCCAGGACCAATGTCCGACTAAGAAATCTTTTAAGAAGCATTCAACAATAACGTGGTGTTTTCTTTCTTTTCTCAATCTAAACCCTTATTTAATCCTTAGACGTGGGCCCTCACAGGTCACGCGAACCCCCAACATAGATACATACGTATATACATGTAAGGGGGGATAAAGTATGTGACGATCACTTGTCACGATCACAGTGGGACTCCTCACAGCCATATATATGTGTGTAATCGCAGGCAGTCAAATCCAAATCCGAACCACTAAACATACCTGCAATCACATCAAAGATTCAACCAAAAGTCCATGCACTACACGGGGTTAACTTCAACCAATCTCTATACTTGTACCCCTCGCTTTAGCCATGCAAGCCTCAACCTTTGTCCAACCAACCTTAATTAAATACTCAGTATCTTTGTTAAACGACCATTCAATAAAGTCTGGGTAAAAGCCTTAATAGAACAATAAAATCACCAGGGCTAAAGCCTTGTAGGTTGAGCGTTGAGGGTGAATTGAAGTTGAGTCATAAGCCGACGAATCGGCAACCGACGTGCTATCAATGATAACAGAAGATGATGATCCTCGTAGGATGAAGTTGAATCTAGTCCTGACCTTGAATCAAGCGATCAAGAGGACCTGTAATACAAGACAGGCCAATCCCCAGGCTAGATCTATAAGTCCATGGAGAATAATCTCCACATCACGATCTCACTCAAAATCCTCCTATTTAATTAAGTCTGAATCTACCTCTAAGCAAGTGTCGAAAGAAAGGTAGACCCTGGCTAGATCTATGACTTCCTCCCCTTTACCATGTTCGCTTTTGTCATCTTCATCATCTTCGTCATCCGCGCCGTACCTTCTTCTTCGTTGTCGTCAGTGCCGACTCCAGTTCACAGAGAGTTAATATGTCAACAACTTCAGTTATCCTGCGGGAACTTTTTTTTTTTTTTTTTTCTCTTTTCTTTTCTTTT